CTCTCCCCCCAGCCGCCGCCGTCGCGGCTGCTACTCGCCTCGCTTTTCGTCTTCGCTTTCTTCGACGACATCACCGGAGAATCAGACGGATTTCACTCGGAGAAAGACACACAACGGCGGCTTCTGAGCTATCCCCGTCGGAGATAACAGATGCGCTTCCTGTGAAGGAAGAGGAGATCAACGCAAGGAGACGAGAATTAGTGCGAATTTATTTATTTATTCATTTCGGATATTCTAGTGTATATATATATATATATTAATATAGATAATATTTAATTTTTAGTTTTATTTTCTATACGATTTTCATCAAACACTCGATTTACACAAGACTTTATTAATTTTAATTTTAAATGTGCACTATTTATAAATTTAGGATGAAAAATGACAATTTATATATATAGGTGATAACTTTAACCTACATATAAATAAGATAATTTATGTGATTCTTGGAGTAGTAATTCAATTACGATCAACATAAAAAGCCCATTGGGCTTCTATTGAGACATGGTTCAATAGAAAATCCAACGGTCAGTAGGGTTTATTTTACCCCGCCTTTTTTTAATATGTTGGAAAATGATTGGAGGATAGTATTTGGTAAAATTAAAAAATTTTATTTTAGAAAATTGGTTCTTAATTTATTATGAAAATGGATGATAACCTTTTACATATAATTGCTAGAATAGTTCGTAAAACATATCATAATAAACTTTTCGTTAATGGGTAATTTTTTCTTTGTTTCGTCATTAAAAATAGTGTTATATTCAGCCATAATTATATCTCGTTATAAAAAAAATTTAAGACATTCAAAATAAAAACGGACAAGAGGGGCCGAGACCTCGTGGACTGGATCAGATAAAATAATAGAAAATATAATGCAAAAATAAAAATGACACTTGAGCTTATTGTTCGTGAAATTTGCATGTGGCCATAAGATATATACGGAAATCCATTCATATCATAGGGTTGATAATAGTTACAATAACGTAATGGGTCTCACTGACCATTGAAAACTTCTAGCGGTCAAATTAGTAATATTCTCAAATAAAGAGGTGTAATTGCGAATTTTCAGAAATTTTGGAAAGGAAAACACAAATTTAAAAAATAAAAAGAAAAGACAGAGAAATAAAATCCAACGCGAAAAGCGACAACAGCTTTTTTTTCCCCATTTTTACTTGCTCCCCTGAGTTCCGTCTTCGTCTCCATCATCGCTTGATCCGGAGAGGCATCGAAACCCTGAATCCATACCTCTCCCATGGCGAGTCTGTTACGAGCCGTGATCGGCGGGGAGA